TGTAATGTTAACGAAAGAACAGTGAACAGGAAAGAGAACAAGAGAGAGGTTCCAAGGCATTCTAGGTAAGAAGAGAGATAAATTCCGGATCACATACACAAAAGCGCGATTTGCAAGAACACATGGCAGAAATCACATGATTAAATAAGATTAGCACAAACATTGTCGAAGCTAGGGCAGAAAAATTAGATCCTTACAATATCAGGCCTTCGCATAACCTTGAACAGCAAAAAATCTATTTTACAATGAGATTCAGATCCCTCTCAAAGTCCAGATCAAAATCCCTCCGCTGATGGCTCTTCTCCGCTCGGGAAAAATTTAGGGGGGGGGGGCGACACCAACGTGATTCCGCCCCTGCTTTTGGTATTGTTGGATTCATCTTCTCAAGATATTAAGTTCGACAGTAAATTCATTGAAATTAGATTTCATATGATTTTGATTTTAATTTTTTAATTTTTTAATTTAAATTTTACTTTGAGAAGAAAGCCAATATTAAAAATTTATTATATATTAAAATTTAATGAATTGCTTATTTATATTTGTTTGGAACTAATAAAATTAATCTAAAAAAATTATCACAATTAATTAGTTTCACAACCAAATAGTCTAAATATCCTGCTGGTTACAGACATCATGGCATATCACTCAAATTAATCTCTGACTAATTTTTTTATTATTTTTTGTTGTCGCTTAAGCGACGCTCAAATGAACCATATATCGGATATCCTAAAGTATTTCTAACGAGCAGTTTTATTAAATCACGACACATATTATTAAGACACATATTAAAAAAAATAATTATATCTTCTCTCTCTCTCCTCTTCTCCTCTCCTTCTATATGAACTCCTTTCCCACTTCATTCCAACAAACGGTGAATCCCAACCAGCTCCTCCCTCTACAACTCTGCGCCTTCCACCGTGAGCTCGCGCATCAGAGGCCATGGCCTCGCACATCCTTCCCAATCTCCTTCTACTCCTCGCCTTGTCTGTCTCCCGGTCCGCCGCCGGTAGCGCCACCTCACCTTACCTCCGCCCACCGCCCAGAGAAACTCTATCTACTCCCCTCCCCGACGACGCCGACGGCACCACCCCCCAGCAGGTAAAGTTTAGGATATGTTCGCAAGGCTAAGGAAGATTGCAATTTTTATGAAAATTATTCTGAATATTACAATTTTTGGTAACGACAGCTCACCAAATTTGAGATGAAGTTTCTCATTAATAAAAAAATAAGTTTTTGTGAGTCAGTTACCTAAAACTTTGCTTTTGGTGTTTTATAGGTGCATATTTCAATGGTGGGTATGAATAGGGTGAGAGTGACGTGGATAACGGAAGATGATGCGCCGGCAACTGTGGATTACGGGTTGCAGGAGGGAAAGTACGGTGAGTCGAGCACGGGATCTACATTGACTTACAGTTTTTCCGCACTTTACACATCGGGGAAAATCCATGAGGTGGTGATTGGGCCGTTGGACCCAGATTCTGTCTATTATTACCGTTGCAGTGGCAATCCTGCCCGGGAGTTCTCCTTCAAGACTCCTCCAGCTAGCCTTCCTATCAAATTCGTTGTTATCGGTAATCTTACCCCCATTTTTTTTCGCTTTCTTAAAATTTTAAGATAATTATACCATGATCAAGTTCTTAGTTCTACATTTGTTATTTTTTATATTAATCTAATATGAATTTTGATTGGTAAATTATTTTTAACTCTCATTTTAAAATAAATTTAATAGATTTAAAAATTATTGTAATTGAAAAATTGATCAAGATATTTTAATTTTCAAATTTTTATTAAAAAATGATATATACATTATACACACTCCTAAAAAATAAATTTAATCATATTGATTTTTATTAGATGGACTAATAAAATCTTTCTTTAATAAAATACTAAAATGTATGATATTCATCAATTTATTCATGTAAAAATTTAATTTTAAATTATATATATATTTTTTATATTAATTTTTTTTATAGTAATACCTTGAAAACACTTATTTGGGTAGGCTTCAATTATTCTATTTTAAATTTATAATTATATTTGTTTCCAAATAACTTGAAAATATTTAATTTATAATAATTAAAATTAGTCATAAACTATGACTTAATTGTTCTCAATTATTGAAAATCCACATATGATGTTGACATCACGCATTGGTTGGTCATTTTCTTGGGAGTATGCGCACTGTTTTATTTTTTTGGGACATTTAGGCCATTTAAGGCAAACTCACACACACACAACGCATACACATAGACTCGAACCCTGAACCTCTTAGTTGGAAGCCTAAGCTCTCAACCAATAAGCCAAGGAGAGTTGTGTTATGCGCACTGTTTGCTAGCTACTACAAAATTTACCCAAAATAAATTATCATATTCTCTTATGTGCCTTCACATATAAGATATAAAGTATAATTTGTCATAATCATCAATTTTCAATCAACTCTACAAAATCTTATTAATTAATTTACAATAGTTTAAATTAATTTATTTTTTAATTTTCGATCGAAAACTTTTTAAAAATTGCAAAATTTAAAATTTCAGATCTCATGTCTAGCATTTAGTTCTTGATTGTAATTTAAGTTTATCCTGTAAACGATATTTATATAATAAAAAACTCCCCTTACATTCATCAAAATCAAATCACAAAAGAATATAACTATAATCCAAAACCCTCTTATTCATGGCCCCCTTCGAAAACATGTCAAATGAATAAAAATATTACTATTATTGTATAAAATAAAAAAATCTTAAATCAAAGCCAAAAAAAAAAAAAAAAATCTCAACCGCAAGTTGCTTATTCATAGATAACAAAATAAATTGTGTAAAAAAGATAAGATATTTCTTATGCTTTCTGTCTATTATTTATAGAGTAATTAAATTTTTTAAGGCCGTTAAAAAAAATAAAAATAAAATTAAAAGCTGGTGTAGAAAAGAGATTCGTAATACAATAAATTTTGAAAATAATAAAAAAATAGTGGAAAAATAAAAAAATTAGGATTATGATCTTAAGAACAAAACAATACAAAAAATGTCTCAAAAAAAGGCTTAACTTTTGTTTGAGACGGCTTTTTTATTGATTCTTAAAGCAATTTTTTAGTATAAAATTTTTAATATTTGTACTAAAAAGCTACTTTAAGAAGCAGAAAGAAAGCTGTCCTAAACGGAGCGTCCATTTGGGATATATTTCTTACTTCATATAAAATAACTTTTTAATATAAAACTTTTTTAAACTTAAAAATTAGCTTTCTAATATAAAATTTTTAATTAGGAAGCATTAAAAAAACGTCCCAAATGAAACTTTGATCTCTTGCTTTAAATCTTATTTTAAATGCTTATATACCAGGCATTTAAATATTAATTCTTATATATAGTGATCGATATATATATACATATGAGCAAAAATGGTGAAGGCATAATCATGGTCCATCAGCAAAATTTTCTATTAATGTTTCAACACATAAAACATATATCTATTCTACTTCGATCAACTTGTTGACCATGATCACATGCAGGTGATTTAGGCCAAACCGGTTGGACAAACTCAACCCTAAACCACATCTCCCGGTCCAACTATGACATCCTCCTCCTCCCCGGCGACCTCTCATACGCCGATCTCAACCAGCCCTCCTGGGACTCCTACGCCCGTCTCGTCGAGCCACTTGCCAGTAGCCGGCCATGGATGGTCACCGAAGGCAATCATGAGATCGAAACCATACCTCTCATCGAATCCACCCCCTTCAAACCTTATAACGCCCGATATCATATGCCCTACGAGGAAAGCACCTCCCCTTCAAACCTTTTTTACTCGTTTGATGCCGGCGGCGGTGCCGTACATGTCCTTATGCTCGGCTCCTACACTGACTTCGATGCCAGCTCGGATCAGCTCAAATGGTTGCAAGCTGATCTGGCCAAGCTCGACCGGTCCAAGACCAAGTGGTTGTTCGCCCTAATACATGCTCCATGGTACAATTCCAATAAAGCACATCAAGGGGACGGCGAGGACATGAGGGAGGCTATGGAAGAGACTCTCTATGCTGCTCGCGTAGATGCCGTTTTCGCTGGTCATGTCCATGCCTACGAGCGCTTTGTAAGTGCTCTTTTTGCCAAACTTTTGTGAAAATAACATACAGAACTTAAAGGTGTTTTTGAAGAAAAATTTTATAATCTTTGGTGGTGCAGGCACCTGTGTATAATAGCAAAAAGAACCAATGTGGGCCGCTACACATCACAATAGGCGACGGGGGCAACAGGGAAGGGCTTGCGAACAAGTACATTGATCCACAGCCGAGCATCTCTTTGTTCAGGGAGGCGAGCTTCGGACATGGGCAGTTGCAGGTTGCGAATGGTACCCATGCACTGTGGAGCTGGCACCGAAATGATGATGATGAGGCTGTGGTGGTTGATAGCGTGTGGATATCCAGTCTTCTTTCCAATCCTGCTTGTCATAAAAAGAATTAAATGATGAAAAAAAATATACTGTTATTTGTATAAAATATTGAGTTTTAAAACATTTTTCTTTTTCTTCTGCTTCATTATCTTTCTTTTAAAAATCAAGATTTGACAAAAAATGGGTGAGGGGTCATCCATGGATGTTGGAAAGATACTTAGTGGTTGCAGGTGAAGAAAAGCAAGGGGATCAGTTATGGTTATAACAAATAATGAACCATGTGATCAAAGATTGTCTTGTAGTTTTACCTAAAATCCCTAAAATCTTCAATAGAATTGAAAAATTCTTAGACATAGGTTTGGTTTGGGACGGCTTTTCTACCGCTTCTTAAAACAGCTTTTTAAGTATAAAAATGTTAATTTTTTCTTTTTAGAAAATCACTTTAAAAAACAATAAGAAAGCTGTCCCAAACAAAGCCTTAGGCTTCATTTGGGATAGCTCTAGATCGTAACTTTTTTTCTTAGATATTTTTATACTATAAAGTAACTTTACAAAACAGTAAAAATCATTTGAGACGAAACCTTAATTATTTTGGTCATGGTGGTATAAACACTTAAAAGTACCTAATGGAGTGAAAAAGCTCGGGTTTGCATCCAAGTGATGCCATTAATAACATGCCACCTGCAAATCAAGGCCTATGGTTTCTTCATAATAGTCTCAACACTTGAAAATTTTCCAATTAGGCATGAAGGCTTGGAATACATGATTTTATACCAACTAATTGGGACGCAAAAGAGAATTTCCAATATAAGGTAGGGAGTACTCAGGTCAACTCAAAGCAAACAGAAGCAATCAAATCATGCCCTTAGGCCTTAGCAAGTCCATTAAGTAAATTGCAGGACATAAAATCATGCTCCTACATAATTCTCATCTAAATCTAATAAAAACATTAATTTTAATATTTTTTTGACCAAATCTTTTTAGAGCTACCCACCTTTTTTAATATAGGTTGAATCTAATACATATGCTCTCCTAACTAATAGGGTCAACAGACTCTCCGAGAAGTGTAATACATTGTAAACAATTAAAATTAAACTGTATTAATCTCAAAACCAATATAACAAATTTAAAATATATGCATCATATCGAAAATTTCATTGAGGATATCTTCATTGATTTTTTTTTTTTTTTTTCATTCATGGGTTCGTTCTTAATCATTTTTTAGCAACCTAAAGGACCAATCATATGACATGAAATCATCTCAACCTCTTTTTTACTTTTTTTGTTGATTTATCTTTGCATTTATGTGCTGGCACAATACAGAGGTTTTGACAAAGGAGAACATAGCTGAACCCATGCGTGACATTAGAAGGGCTCTTTTGGAGGCTGATGTATGTTAGCTACATTTTCTTACTGGTTTCTTGGGTCTTATTTTAGTGTAACTCTGTATTTGGCTCTCAAGCGTTTGATGCATTCTCTTCTGTGCAGGTGAGCTTGCCAGTTGTGCGGAGGTTTGTACAGTCTGTTAGTGATCAAGCAGCTGGGGTTGGATTGATTCGAGGGGTGAAACCAGACCAACAGTTGGTAAAGGTTGGAGAATCTCTCATTAGTATTATAGGACAGGATAATATCATGAAGACTTAAAAGACATGTTATAATATATCCATCAGCGAAGATAGAATATCAAAAAGTTGATTTTCTATTCTCAATGGACTTCGACACCTAACATAATCAACATCTGCCTTGTAATCTTTAAGTGATTTGTCTTTGATAATTTGTCTTTTTTCAAGACATTTCTGGCCATAATTCAAAACTGTTAGGCAGCCTCTTATTGTTTCTTCTTCAGATTTTACATATGCGGACTAATCACACCAATAACAAAGGCATATATACTGGGTTTAGTAATAGTTAGATAAGCTTGCCAACTAGACCCTTATTCTGAGAGGCTTTTTTAAAGATATGCTTTTCCTAAATGTTTGTAAAATATCCATTGGAGAGATTTATTTCTCGAAGATCTTTTTTCTTAAAAAGGTCTATAGTGTTTTATCACAAGCAATCTAATAAACATACAAAGAGAAGAATATTATGAGCCCATTACTGTACCCACTATCATTCTCATTTTTGTCTTTTTAAATATTAGTTCTACTTTGTAAATAACCAAAAAGAAAAAAAAATTAATAAGCACATAAACTTCTTTATAAGAAACTACACGGTCTCAAAAAATTTCAAATATATGATTTTAATTTAAAATATATTTAAAATACTCATAAAATTCAAATTCCTCTAACCAAATAGAGTTATTCGAATTAATTGTTGCCATATAACATTTATAATTAGAATATATAGTATTTATTCATAAAATAATTTTTCATTATTGAGAATATTTTATTTTATTATATTTCCTCTATTATTTTTTTCTTTCCTTTATATAGGTTGAACTACCTCAATTCGTCATAGTCTCCAATCTTTATGATGTAGAGATGAATTCCCCAAAGAAAGGGCGTTCACGTTTCAATCCAACGGCCACATTTATGATTTTTTTGAACCGGCCAGTTCTTTATAAAACGGCTGGTTTGCCGGTTCCCGGGTTCAACCGGCAGTTCGCCCGGTTTTTATCCGGTCTGATACCACTCCGATTTTCAGGTTTGAACTGACCGGTTAGCTGGCCGGTTCCAGTTCAACCGGTTGAACCGGCCGGTCCGGTTCGGTTTTAATAACATTAAAAATTTATGATCATTAATTAATTATAATATATTATATTTATTGAAAAAAAAAAACAAATCATAGTAAAAAATTATTATCAAATCTCAAGCCATACACAATAGTCAAATATAATTCTTAGTCACAAACAAGGATAATTGAATTAAAAGAAAAATCACAACATTTTTACATGGAAAACCAACCCAAGAAGCACAAGCAATATACTGTCATATATCAACAATAATGTCACTTAATTTAAAATATATATGACTTTTAACATTCTTCATGCGAACAACATAACATGCTAATAGATAAATAACCAACATGAATATTTATATTTTATGTAAAATAGACATGCATTACTCTATTATCATAAATTATATATAGATGTCTACCATATTTGATTATCATATTTGTATATATTTAAGCCAGTTCAATCTCAAGTGGAATTACCTCGGCTAAAGGCATCTGCAAGTCCCGATTCACCACCAACGACCGGCACACCGGACAAGTATGTTGCCTCCGTAGCCACGAATCCACACATGTCGCATGAAATAAATGTCCACACTCTGGCAGAAGCCTCATTGCCTTATCCTCCCTCTCGTCCTCCTTATAGTCAACAAGACAAATATAACAGCAAATGGCGTTGACTGCTGGCGGATCCCGACTCTTGGCTTCAACATAGGTGAGCGTAGGCCAGATAATAAGTGTAGCATTGTCGATCTCAATATCGGCATTGCGTTCAGGTTGAGGGGGAGGGGCAACAACAGAGTAATTCCACATTAAGTAGGCCAGTGATGTAGATGATGGTGGCGATAAGAAAAAGATGAAAATGAAGATGACGATAGAGTAGATCATTGTGGAGTGGGCAAGAATACAAGAACTTAACCCTGGGAAAACAACACCATATTCAGTTTTTATTTATAGTAAAAGGAAATATGCTAGTTAATTTCTCAATTTTATGTAAGCTAAACAATTTCAAATCGTTGAAATGATAGAAAAAATAAAAAGAATAAAAAATGCAAGCATAACTTCAGCATCTTAGCACTAAAAATCAGAAAATCTTGACTTTAATCCCTTTAGCAAGAATACTTAGTAGAACTCAATCTCCCCCAAACAATGCAAGCAAGTTTACATATTCATTTTTGCTATCCAAACTTCAGGAAAGGGAAATGAAAAAGAAGTAGTAGCAAAAGAGGGAGGAATAGTAGAAGAAGAGATAGAAGAAGAAGAAGAAGGGGTTGAAGAAGAGGAAGAAGAGGAAGAAGAAGAAGGGGAAGATTACCTGTACGGGAGAGAAGATCGGCTCGGGGGTCGCGGCTAGTAGGTCCGTTGGCTGTGGTCGGTTCGGCTGGAGGCGGTTGTCGAGCTCAGGGTGTGTACGGCTCTGGAGCTAGGGCAGGTCGGGGATTCGGCAGAGCAGGTGTTGGCGACGGATAGGGAGGAGAGGGAGCTGGCTTCCTGAGTCTTGCGGCCAGGGCAGCCTTTATATTTTATGCTGACTCATTACAGCCTTTGTTCTCCGATCAAAGCATTGAGCATCTTATCCCCGCAACCTACCTGTACTGTAAACCCGCCATGGAGACGCTGGGTTTGACGACTGTTTCATCTCGCCATCTTTCTTCGTCACCGTCTTCCTTCTCTTCTCGCGCTGCCTTCTTTGGCTCGAGAAGGGTGCGAAGGCCAAACGTTTCAGCAAATTTTTCTTCTTCGTGGATTGGCAAAAGCTATTCCCTCGGTTCTTCTCAGAATAATGTCTTCACAGTGAGATAGTAGCTCCGATCAATTTCATCTTAAGAAATCGCTCTCTTTATACTCCCTATTTTGTTGCACACATTAAATTTAAATAAATTTTTTATTTTGTTACTTTTCAGAGAGAAGTGTGGGGTTGTGTCACTTTAACGTTTCGTAATGTTAAACGAGATAGAAGCTTCATTGTTAGGGCTGAGATGTTTGTGCAGTTGACAAGTGGGCTTGAAGCAGCATGGAGTAAACTCAAAGGAGAAGGCATTTCTCTTCTCTTTGTTCTGTTAAATTACTCCATTTCTTGGCAATTCTTTTCTGAATTTGTTCTGTATTTCTTGCCACTTCAATGTTTTTATTTTGCTATAATTTGCCTTACTGTAATTGTTTGCATTGCTAAATCAAAGAAGATACGGCATAGTTGTATTACATTTACAAAAGAGCAGATTAAGAAGTGAAAGAGATATTGGTTTTAAACAGCTTTGAACTTTTTTCGTTGTTGGTTAAGTAATTTTATTTTTTTCTATTCTTCTGAACAATAATTGATCTTTTTTACTTTTTTGTTGATTTATCTTTGCATTTATGTGCTGGCGATACAGAGGTTTTGACAAAGGAGAACATAGCTGAACCCATGCGTGGCATTGGAAGGGCTCTTTTGGAGGCTGATGTATGTTAGCTACATCTTCTTACTGGTTTCCTGGGTCTTATTTTAGTGTAACTCTGTATTTGGCTCTCAAGCGTTTGATGCATTCTCTTTTGTGCTGGTGAGCTTGCCGGTTGTGCGGAGGTTTGTACAGTCTGTTAGTGATCAAGCAGCTGGGGTTGGATTGATTCGAGGGGTGAAACCAGATCAACAGTTGGTAAAGGTTGGAGAAACTCTCATTAGTATTATACGACAGGATAATATCATGGAGACTTAAAAGACATGTTATAATATATCCAAAGCAAAGATAGAATATCAAAAAGTTGATTTTCTATTCTCAATGGACTTCGGCACCTGCCTAATCAACATCTGCCTTGAAATCCTTAAGTGATTTGTCTTTGATAATTTGTCTTTTTTCAAGACATTTCTTGCCATAATTCAAAACTCTTAGGCAGCCTCTTATTGTTTCTTCTTCAGATTTTACATATGCGGACTAATCACACCAATAACAAAGGCATACTGGGTTTAGTAATAGTTAGATAAGTTTGCCAACTAGACCCTTATTCTGAGAGACTTTTTTAAAGATATGCTTTTCCTAAATGTTTGTAAAATATCCATTGGAGAGATTTATTTCTCGAAGATCTTTTTTCTTAAAAAGGTCTATAGTGTTTTATCACAAGCAATCTAATAAACATACAATGAGAAGAATATTATGAGCCCACCACTGTACCCGCTATCATTGTCATTTTTGTATTTTAAGTATTAGTTCTACTTTGTAAATAACCAAAAAGAAAAAAAATTAATAAGCTCATAAACTTCTTTATAAGAAACTACGCGGTCTCAAAAATTTTCAAATATATGATTTTAATTTAAATTATATTTAAAATACGCATAAAATTCAAATTCCTCTAACCAAATAGAGTTATTCGAATTAGTTGCTGCCATATAACATTTATAATTAGAATATATATAGTATTTATTCATACAATAATTTTTCATTATTGAGAATATTTTATTTTATTATATTTTCTCTATTGTTTTTTTTTTCTTTCCTTTATATATGTGCATTTGTATTAGTATGAAATCAATCAAGCAAATATTCACCTTCTATGTTTTTTATTATTACAAGAAATAAGGGTCATTTTAAAGAAAAATTAGCAGGCCAAAGCCATGTGATACTGGTCGAATTGGATTACGTAATAAATAATAATATTATTAAATATTATAAAATAAATAAATAAAATTTCTCTATTCATTCACTCTACATTTCATTCTCATTTCAAACTAAAAATAGAGATAATAAAGTCAAAAATTAATACTTATAAATTAAACTTAATATCAAACTCATCAATTGAACTTAAACGACACATATTGGGGAGAAGTGCATACCTCAATTCGTCATAGTCTCCAACCTTTATGATGTAGAGATGAATTCCCCAAAGAAAGGGCGTTCAAGTTTCAATCTAATGGCCACATTTATGATTTTTTTGAACCGGCCGGTTCTTTAAAAAACGACTGGTTTGCCGGATCCCGGGTTCAACCAGCAGTTCGCCCAGTTTTTATCTGGTCTGATACCAGTCCGATTTTTAGGTTTGAACTGTCCGGTTAGCCGGCCGGTTCCAGTTCAACCGGTTGAACCGGCCGGTCCGGTTCGGTTTTAATAACATTGAAAAATTATGATCATTAAATTATAATATATTATATTTATTGAAAAAAAAAAACAAAAACAAATCATAATAAAAAATTATTATCAAATCTCAAGCCATACACAATAGTCAAATATTATTCTTAGTCACATACAAGGATAATTGAAATGAAAAATCACAACATTTTTACATGGAAAACCAACCCAAGAAGCACAAGCAATATACTATCATACATCAACAATAATGTCACTTAATTTAAAATATATATAACTTTTAACATTCTTCATGCACACAACATAACATGCTAATAGATAAATAACCAACATGAATATTTATATTTTATGTAAAGTAGACATGCATTACTCTATTATCATAAATTATATATAGATGTCTGTCATATTTGATTATCATGCATATTTGTATATATTTAAGCCAGTTCAATCTCAAGTGGAATTACCTCGGCTAAAGGCATCTGCAAGTCCCGATTCACCACCAACGACCGGACAAGTATGTTGCAGCCGTAGCCACGGATCCACACATGTGGCATGAAATAAATGTCCACACTCTCGCACTTAACATTCTTCATGCGAACAACATAACATGCTAATAGATAAATAACCAGCATGAATATTTATATTTTATGTAAAATAGACATGCATTACTCTATTATCATAAATTATATATAGATGTCTGCCATATTTGATTATCATATTTGTATATATTTAAGCCAGTTCAATCTCAAGTGGAATTACCTCGGCTAAAGGCATCTGCAAGTCCCAATTCACCACCAACGACCGGCACAGCGGACAAGTATGTTGCCGTCGTAGCCACGAATACACACATGTCGCATGAAATAAATGTCCACGCTTTGGCAGAAGCCTCATTGCCTTATCCTCCCTCTCGTCCTCCTTATAGTCAACAAGACAAATATAACAGCAAATGGCGTTGACTGCTGGCGGATCCCGACTCTTGGCTTCAACATAGGTGAGCGTAGGCTAGGTACTAAGCGTAGCATTGTCAATGTCAATATCGGCATTGCGTTCAGGTTGAGGGGGAGGGGCAACAACAGAGTAATTCCACATTAAGTAGGCCAGTGATGTAGATGATGGTGGCGATAAGAAAAAGATGAAAATGAAGATGACGATAGAGTAGATCATTGTGGAGTAGGCAGGAATACAAGAACTTAACCCTGGGAAAACAACACCATATTCAATTTTTATTTATAGCAAAAGGAAATCTGCTAGTTAATTTCTCAATTTTATGTAAGCTAAACAATTTCAAATCGTTGAAATGAGAGAAAAAATAAAAATAATAAAAAATTCAGCATCTTAGCACTAAAAATCAGAAAATCATGACTTTAATCCCTTTAGCAAGAATACTTAGAAGAACTCAATCTCCCCCAAACAATGCAAGCAAGTTTACATATTCATTTTTGTTATCCAAACTTCAGGAAAGGGAAATGAAGAAGAAGAAGGGGAAGATTACCTGTACGGGAGAGAAGATCGGCTCGGGGGTCGTGGCTAGTAGGTCCGTTGGCTGTGGTCGGTTCGGCTGGAGGCGGTTGTCCAGCTCAGGGTTCGTACAGCTCTGGAGCTAGGGCAGGTCGGGGATTCGGCAGAGCAGTTGTTGGCGACGGATAGGGAGGAGAGGGAGTTGGATTCGTGAGTCTTGTGGCCAGGGCAGGGTGTCGAAACCTTCGTTTGCAGGCGGCTTGCTTGCCGGTTTGGTTGGGTCTGAGTATAGGAGGCTCG